GGTCTAGGCACGAAACGTCAGCTTTCCTGCTCCTCTGATGCTGCTTGGCCTGCTGTGTTCATCCAGCTCTACACCTTGTTATCTCAGATTCTCCAGCATCTGCAGTTCCTACTATCTCTGAAACTATGATCTCTCGTTCTAGATTGCCCCACAGGGAAACATCCTAAGTCTACTTTGTCAATCCTCTTTAGCATCTTATCTACCTCAATAAAATCTCCTCTCATTCTTCTAAACTCCAGACAGTAAAGGCCAAAACAGCTTAACGTGCACTCATTTGACTCATCTCTGGAATGAATCTCGTGAACCTCTCTGAATCACCCCTAATAAAGTCATCACCATAGTCTCAGAAGACCATCCCTCAGTTCTCTCAGACAGACAACTGGTGGTGAATTTAACCTGAGGGTCACAATGCCTCAGGCAAGTGGCAAAGTCAAGAAGTCAGGACTTTCATGGTAATCTCAGCTAGAATGGGCACTGAACCTGCACTGTGGCATCAAACTGCATCACAAACCAGCTGTACAGCCAACTGAGCAAACCAACCCAAATTCATATGTCAAATAAAGACACAGCCAGAAAAGATTAAATTTAACGACTTCAGAAGAAAATAATAAGTAACCAGGATATACCATAAAGAGGTTGATATCAATAACTGTGCTGAAAGATTTTAGTAGATTTTAGTAATCTCAGTAAAGAAATCAAACCATTGGTAGGGTAATCGAAAACAGACGTTGCTGGAAAATCTCAGCAGGTCTGGCAGCATCTGTGAAGAGAAATCAGAGTTAATGTTTCGGGTCTGGTGACACTTCCTCAGAACAAGTCTGAGGAAGGATCACCAGACCCGAAATGCTAGCTCTGATTTCTTTTCACAGATGCTGCCAGGCCTGCTGAGCTCTTCCAGCAACTTCTGTTTCTAATTTACAGCTTCCGCAGTTCGTTCGGTTTCTACTCGGGTAATCAAAGCCATTCGAATGTTGTACAATATTTCTTGATTTGTTCACTGCTATTTTAGAAAAAAAGTTGTGACCAAATTGCAAAGTCCTTTGTTTAGATTACATCTCAAATCCTGCACAAATCTCTATCAATACTGCAAAAAAATTGAAGTACTGAAGTAAAAGTGTAAAGATATTGAATGATCTCCAACATCAATGGTAAAATACAAAACATTGGCAAGCTTGATAGTTTTCATCTTGGAAAGAACATATTTGATAACTTTCCAGCCTCTAAGTTAATCTAATTATGATTTAAGACAAGAGAATATAAAATCAAATGAGTAGTTAATAAATTCAGGGTTCAAAAGGCTCTATACCTCTGCCAATACTTCATAACCTGAATTTAACACAGCATCTCCTTGCCTTGATGCATCACAGATATATTACAAACTTTTACTTAATGTTTGTATCACCTATGGTAAGCCACATACAGTATGATATACTTTTTAAATAACTCGCAAAAAAGGTAGCTTTACTGAGGGGTGTACGGTATTAATCAGAAAAGTGAAGGTCACTGCTGTCCTTCAAATAACATTTCATATCTTTACTCACAAATGAATGAAGCATTGTTTGTACTTTAGTTATTCTCATTTGCACAGCAGTAACGCCCCCAACCCCCACCCCCACATTCTTTTTAATAAAAAGAGTCGTAGAGTTATACAGCATGGAAATAGACCCTTCGGTCCAACTAATCCACACTGACCATGTTCCCAAACTAAACTAGTTCCACTTGTCTGCAGCATTTGGCCCATATCTCTCCAAACTTTTCCTATTCATGTACTTATCCTAATGTCTTTTAAATGTTGTAACTGTACCTACATCCATCACTTACTCTAGCAGTACATTCAAGTTGCCCCTCGTGTCCTTTTTACAACTTTGTCCTCTCATCCTAAGAATATGCCCCTTGTTTTGAATTTCCCCACCTAGGGAAAAGATGTTCACCTTATCTATGCCCCTTGTGATTTTATAAACCTCTATAACGTCATCCCTTAACCTCCTACACTCCAGTGAAAAAAGTCCCAGCCTATCCAGCCTATTTTAAAACTCTTACCCTCTATTCTTCACACAGAGAGTGGTGGGTGTATGGAATGCGCTGCCGGCAGTGGTAGTGGGGTCAGATACTTTAGAGACTTTTAAGCGACTCTTGGATAGGCACATGGAGATAGTAAAATGTAGGTATGCAGGTAGATTAATCTTAGTAGGATAATTGGTCGGCACAACATCTTTGGCCGAAGGGCCTGTACTGTGCTGTATTATTCTATGTTCTATGTTCTATTCCAGGCAACATCTGAAGCCAAAGGGCTCCATTGATTGTTGTACTGGGCACAGATAGCATTGTATAGGCACTGCAAAGACGAACATTAAGGTTTCACTGTGGCCAGAATTTCACCTGTACACAATATCTGCATAACAGAAATAATGTGAGACATCCACTTCCAAATAGAACAGAGTGCAGAATCGCTTTCTACTGTCCTTCATGCCTCTTTTTTCCTTTTTCATGAAGGAAATGTAGCATTGTGCACAAGACAGATCTCACCTTGCTTTACTGCACTGAGTGTCTTCAATGCTCCATATGCAAGTGATATAATCGTTTGTTTGGGCAAAAAATAACTAGGGCATACATGGCCAGCGCCAATTCAGGGGCAAAGACACCCATTCTTGTGCTCAGGAGAAAATTAGATATTCACTCTGTGGTATATGTTGATGTCCCTAATCCATAAATTTTGTAGCTTCTTTGAAGCATGTAGGAACTTAGAATCACGCAACATGGAGGGAGGCTATTCAGCTACTGTTTGTACTGACTTTGAAACAGCTATCTAATTAATTGTATATCCATTCTGCAATTCAGTCTACAATATTACTTACAAATAATTATCTAATCCCCTTTACGAGGTAATATTGAATCTGTTTCTGCAACACTTACCACATTGAACAAAATCTAATGTTTCTGATGCTTTCTAAATCTGTGTCTTTGAGTTGCCAATCATTTTACCAGTAAAAGTGTGGCATGCTGCCAATTTAGTCAAAACTCTTTTATATAACTCTTAAATTTTCCCTTATCCTTCTCTGCTCCAAGAAGAACAAGCCAAGACCCTTCATTTTTTTCATGGAATCCGGGCAGTGCTAGCAAGGCCAACAGCAGTGGCATAGTAGGCCATTTCAAAGGACAGTTAAGGTTCACTACATGGCTGTGGATTGGATTCAGCTGTCATCACCAGGTCAGCAGATTCCCTCCCTAAAATAAATTAATGAACCGGGTGGGCTTTCTCAACAACGATTGCTTCACCAATACCAAAACTAGCTTTCAATCCAGATTTAATTAATTGAACTTAAATTGGACTAACTGCCACGGTGAGATATGAACCCATGTCCTCAGAGCATTAATTAGGGCCTTATTCTACCATCACCTCAAACTACATTTACATATCACCTTTCTCATCCTCAGGATGAAGGTTTTTTGAAGTGTACTGTCTGTTACAATGTATAGAAACAGCAGATTTTCAAACAGCAAGCGCCTTCCTGCAGCAATTATTTTTGACAGTTTTGGTTAAAACCGGGACACTGGAAGAACTTCAAGGCTCCTTTAAAGACTACTGTGGGATTTTTTTTTTAAACTATCCTACATACTTGACATTTAACATTTAACCCAACATCTTCCAATAGTGAAGTATTCTCGATGCTGCACTGATATGTAAGCCTTGATAACATACTCTCGCTTTGGGATGAATCATGATTTCTCAATTTCTCAGAGTGCACAGAATTGATCACGTGTCTTTACAAAAACAAAACTTTGCAATCATATTTTGAAAAGAGACTATGGACTTACCTGACAGCCTCGCTTTTCTATTTCCACAATACATTTCTGCATCAACAATGGCACCCTCAAGCCCATATTTTCCTTCTCAACTATTTTCCGTGCCTCAACACCAAACATCACTGGCTCCCGCTCTCCATCTGGGCTGTCCAACGAGTTCTCCCACTGCTCCATCAGAGTCAATTTCACATAAATGAGCCCTCTGGGTTCAAGTTTGACCGCTAATTGATGCATCTTGGAGACCCTGAAGAGCGTGGGGAGCACAACGGTACCATGGCAGCAAACACGGTTCCGACGCGGCGTTGGCTCCCAGCTGAAAACTACAAGTTTGAGATGTTGTGCGTTCTCTAGCTCAATATTAAATGTGTGGTCCATATCCAAAAATGTGGTTCTGCACGTCAATAACGCTGTCCTGGCTTTGTTGACTGAATCTACTTGAATGGCACAGAATACATCTCTAGAATCAATTCTTGGTGGCTTTAAATCCTCAGCACCATAAAAATGTACACTCATTAGTCCTGAAATATATTGAGAACACTTAGGCTGATCCACAAAGCTGTAATGCCTGAAAGCATCAATATCAATGTCTGTACTGTGTGTTTTTTGAGAGGTTGAAGCAATGCTCCCCTTCACAGGTCTGTTTTCGCAGGAGTGCTTACCCGATTTAGCTACAAGTTCTGGTGAATCGCCATCACTAAGGTAGCCACCCTTGCTAGCTGATTTGCAGTTTCCTGAACTTTTCTTTTTGTAGTTCTGAGATACTACACTTGTATCCAGGTGGTAACGGCTGATGACATTCCTACTAGCAGCATTAGTTGCAATCCCAGGAGATAACGAGGAACCATGGTTGCCTTTGGGTGATGAATTATGATTATCGTTACAGTTATGGCTTGAAGTCCCTTTAACACTCAATTTTCTGCTGAGTTCAGGAAGTTTTTTCATTTTCATCGAAAGCTTCCTCACAGTCCTTGGAGATTTTATCTTTTCGGGAAAGGGCCAATTAATTGCAGTTCCCTTTTTCAAAGGGTTAGGGCTGGATGGTGGAGAAAGCTCAGTCGTTGTTGCTGCTGTCGCTACTACTGCAACTGCACAGACAGGACCATTGGAAGGATCAGTGGCAGCTACTAAAACCAAAATTAATGAAGATTATATTAAACTCAATTCAAACAGTACAATGAATCTTTGAAAAACTAAAATGATCAAAACTCTATAGCAACACATTAACATTGGTAAAATTTTATTCAAACAAAATAAAGCCAGTTTCTCCCAATAGTTCAGCCTATGTATTTAACAAGCAGATGAGCCATATAGCCCAACAGCCACCCCAGCCATAATTCTTGCTCAGCAGCTGTACAGTACTGCAATTGACTTCAATTGGTGGGGGGGAGATAAGAGGTGTGTGAAAGGTATTGGTGGTGGCTCACACTTCGGACCATTTTGGTCTGAGGTTATGAATTTGGGCTATCTGACTAATGATTTTTTTTTAATTATCCTATCATTTTTGACCCAATAGAATTATGATTTTATGACTAGTTTCCAAGAAAGTTCAGGAAATTCAGTGTATGTGTCAAACTAAACAAAGCTTCTGACAAGTAAATTTGGTTAACAAAATTGAGTCGCATGGAATAGATGACAGCTTCAATAGAAATTTGCCTTAAGAACAAAAAAAACAGCAAGACATAGCAAATGGTTCAGTCTGGAGGACAGCTGACAATTGTGTTTGCTGAGGGTCTGTGTCAGGACCACATCTTTTATTGATATGTAAAATAACTTGGATATTGGAACACAGTAAAATTTGCCAATGTTGCCAAGCTTTGAGTTATGCAAACAATAAAAATGGTACCAATCAACTGCAACAGAAAATAAACTCGCAGAATAGTGATTAAGGGGCAGATGGAATTTAACACCAAGGAACTGTGAGGTGATGCGTTTTGGAAGAAGGGATTGAGAGGGACAATATAGACATAATGACATAGTTCTAAAGGGACAAAAACCTGGGTGTTCAGGTGCATTGCGCTTTGAAAATGGCAGGATATGTTGAGAGCAGCTAGCAATGTTCATGGGATTTTCAGTTTCACAAATAGGAGCAATGAGCATAAATACAGGGAAGCTATAGAGTCATAGACGCATGAAGCTTGAAAACAAACTCTATGGTTCAACTCATGTGTGCCGACCAGATGTCCCAATCTGATCTAGTCCCATTAGACAGCATTTGACCCATATCCCTCTAAACCCTTCCTATTCATATATTCATCCAGATGTCTTTTAAATGTTGTAATTCTAACTGCCTCTACCCGCTTCCTTTGGCAATTCGTTCTGCATGAAAAAGTTATCCCTCAGGTCCTTCATAAATCTTGCCCCTCTCACTTTAAACCTATGCCTCCTAATTTTGGACTCCCCCCACCCCTAGGAAAAAGATCTTGGCTATTCACCCTATCCATGCCCCTCGTGATTTTATAAACCTCTATAAGATCATCCCTCAGCCTCCAGCGCTCCAGGGAAAATAGCCCCAGCCTATTCAGCCACTCCCTGTTGCTCAAACCCAAATGGTGTTGCAGGTAGACAGGTGGTGAAGAAGGCATTTGGCACACTTGCCTTCCTTGGTCAGAACATTGAGTATATGAGTTGGGAGGTCATGTTGTGGCTGTACAGGACATTGGTAAGGCCACTTTTAGAACACTATGTACAATTCTGGTCAATGTTGCTACATCTTGCATGCATACAATTAAGGAAGAAGCCAAAGCAAATGTCAAAAATCCTAAAGGATTTGTTACTTCGTATCTATGTGGACATTAATCAAATTGAATGCAATGTCACATATACAATTCATTGTCCTATGAGTAAACATTAAACAGGTTGGGACTTTCTCATTGGCATTTAGAAGAATGAGAGGTGATCTCATTGAATTCTTAAGGGTCTTAACAAGATAAATGCTGAGAAGATGTTTCACCTCCTGGAAAAGTCTAGGACCAAAAGGCACAGTCTCAGGATAAAGGGGTGTTAATTTAAGACTGAGATGAGGCATTAAGCTGAATCTTTATAAAGCTCTTTGTATGTCAAAATTGGAGCACTGCATCCAGTTCTGGTCACCATACTTTTAGAAGGATAAGAGGATCCTTGAGAGGGTGCAGAGGAGAAAGACTCTTGGGAGTAGCGATTTTATCTAGAGGTTTGACTGAAGCAGGTTGTTCTCATTTGAGCAAGGGAGATTTTATTGAGATGTGCAAACTTTGGTTTGGTTAAGATAGACATTCATGTTACAGGCGATACAGCTGACATCAGATGAACCACCCATTTAAAAAAGATTGTAAGGGCTTGTAGCTTGCTGCACGAGGACTGTAGAAGCAGAAATAAAGAATTTCAAAAGGAAATAGGATGGATATTGGAGGGAAATAAATTTCAAGACAATGAGAATAAGATGGTGGAATAGCACTTGGATCACTCTTCAGAGAGCCAGCATGGACTTAACGGTCCAAACGGCTTCTTTCCGTGCCACTTTCACTAACACTCCTCTTCCTCACCCAGTGAAGTAGTTTGCTCGGAGTAAGTAACGGTTCATGCATAAGTTATGATAATTTAAGTAAGACCAAGGGTGCTCATATTACAGCATCCCAATAAGTTGTCATTGTTTTCAGGAATTGTGGGAAGAAATGCCCAAAGTATGAAATTATGCTACTTATGTTCCTATTTATAAAATTCAGAACAATTCTCCTTTGGAAAAAGAACTTTCAACTTTTGAATTGTTTTCATTTTAAATTGAGTGACAAGTCTGAAGCATATTGTACACTTCAATTTATCAACCGTTCAATAAATACCTCATCGAAGCAGCTACAGAATGGAGACACCACTTAAACTGACAGATGCATTCAGCCCTACAAGAACCTACTATTGTGGAATTAATCTCATTAACATCAATGTCTTTTAGGTATTATAACTGTCCAAAAGCACATAGATCAGCATATGGATGCAACAATTCAATTAGTCAAATTAATCATAGCCAAGTTCTGTAAATATTCAATAAAATAATAAAATTCCCAATAGCTAGTTGAATATCATATTTAATTTCTAGCATCCTATTTAGTGCCAGTAGAATGTGAAAACTGATACTAGCTGTCCTTTTATATTTCAAGCTAAGACTGTATCATAGACATGTACATTGAATGCTTGTTCAATCAGTATGTTCCTAACACCAAATAAGACAAAATACAGAGGCTGGCTTTTTTTTAGAGACATAGAGCAGAGTTTTCTTCTAATCTGTATCTCTAAACTGGACCTACAGCATTTCCAAACAGTGAAAGACTTATACTCCAGCTGTTTGCTGTGTAGTTCTGGCAAGAATCTACTCCAAAAAATAGACATCTGATAAATTCAGACAATACAACTCTTTGTATTGTAAATTACAGAAATCCCATTGCAAAATTACGTCACAGCATCCAGTAATCCATGACATTTTCAGACCATGCAGTATCAGTCTTTCTTCCAGTTGCAAATAAAGCAAAAGCAAAGGGGAGAGGAGAAGTAAATACAATGAAGTAAATTTCTATTAGAAAACCTAAAGCTAATGATTGTATAAATAAGTTTTGCAGTGAAAGCTATCCCAAGACTTTTCATCTCGGTTTATCGTGGAAAAATAGATTGCAAATAACCAACTATAAAGTGTTCATTTAAATAATTGACAATAAACATGGCTGCTTTGAATGTGGCAACTTTTCAGCAGCTTCAAATCCACCAGATGCATGAATAGGTGATAAAACCTGCTGACAAGCACTCTCCCCAACAAACCCCACCCCCCCCACACACAATACTAACATTAGTTCCAAATGTAATGTATAAAGCATAGAGAAACCACAGCTGTATTATGCAAAATGTCTGAAAAGCCCCAAACTAACCAGTGATAACGATCTTTCCTCTCTCCCGTGTGTTATTTGCATACAGCATGAACAGCTGCAAGTGTGATTCCACCATCAACAGGGAATTAAACAAGCAATATGGAGGTTAACAAATTCAATAAAGGAGTCCTTCAAAAACCCAACAATATAACTTATCAGCAGCAAAATAGACTGTCTGCACTCTATAACAGCCTGGCAAATAAGTTTAAGATTCACAAATGGACAGGCCAATTGATCAGTACACCTGTCCGCCATTTCTGGAATCCGGTTCCAATTGAATGCAATAGGGTGCAAATTTATTAAAGGAATCCTCCATAAAATAAATTAGATAGCTTCAATCCAGTTCTTATCTCTGGGCTCTCAATTTTGTTTAAATTCATTCACAGGATGTTGTTATTGCTGGATGGGCAGCATTAATTACCTTGCTGCCCTTGAGAAGGTGGTACTGAGTTGCGTTCTTGAACCACTGCAGTCCATTTTGCGTAGGTAGACCCACAACGCTGTCGGGGATGGAGTTCCAAAAGTTTGACTCAGAGATACTGAAGGAATAATGATATATTTCCAAGTCAGGATGGTGAGTGGCTTGGAGGGGAACTTACAAGTGGTAATATTCGCATATATTTGCTGTCCTTGTCCTTCTAGATGGCAGTGGACTTGGTTTTGGAAGGTGCTATTTCACAGTGCATCCTGTAAATGGTACAAACTGCTGCTACTGAGCATCGGTGGTGGAGAGAGTGGATATGGTGTCAATCAAGTAGGCTGCAATGTCTTGGATGGCATGAAGCTTTGACTGTTGCCGGAGTTGTACTCATCTCGGCAAGTGGAAAGTATTAATCACACTCCTGACTTGTGCCTTGTACATAACAACAGGCTTTGGGGAGTTAGATGGTGAGTTACTTACTGGAAAATTCCTAAACTCTTACTTGCTCTTGCATTCACTAAATTTGTATGACCAGTCCAGTTTAATTTCTGGTCCATACTAACCGCCCCCCCCGCCCCACCAAGGGCATTGATCATGGGGGATCCAGTGATAGCAATGCCATTGAATGTCAAGGAGCAATGGCTAGACACTTAATTGAGATACAGACAGAGTCATGCAGAACAGAAACAGACCCTTCGGCCCAACTCATCCACGGAAACCAGTTTTCCTAAACTGAACTAGTCACATTTGCCTGCATTTGGCCAACATCCCTCTAAACCTTTCTTATCCATGTACCTATCCAAATGTCTTTTAA